TCAGCATCATCTCAGATGAGAACGACACCATCATCAGTATATACGGCCCTAACGACAACACCATCATTGATAACAGCAACATCACCTCCATCAACCATAACAGGGAGAGCAGCTCCATCATGGTCATCCCATCCTCCGCCGTCTTTTGGCTCTGGAACTCGCTCAGAGCGGATTTCGGCAATCCGCAAGCCGACGTTTCAGTCAGAGCGTTTCCATGGAGGGCAAGGACGAATGGGTACCTGTCGACATAGATGCCGACAAGAAGGAGGAGGGCCCGGAGGTAAAGTCACCTTCGGCGGCAGCGAGCTCCGGACCTACGACCCAGGTCAAGCGGGAGTTCGTCTTCAACGGCCAGAAGATGGAGTATGTCACCTCGGAGGGCAAGGTCAAGGAGAGAGACCCGGGCAACGCGCACCAGGGTCGCAAGAAGGAGAAGCAGATGGAGCTGGACCCGGCGTTCGCACTGCAGGTGGACCCCCGCGATCCGAGGACCACACGGGGACCGTGCGGGCAGACGCATCGCAAGTACTTCACGGTCAACAACCAGTGGGGCCAGACCAGGACATGCTATCGGTGCGGGCTGAGGTTGCTCTACGTCCCGACGGCGAAGGCGCCGATGACGAACCTCAGCATGCAGCATCCGAAGTTGGTGGAGTCCGGCCTGGAGTTGGTGCGGCACTGCAACCTGTGGGAGACGGCCAATCACGAGCAGGTGACTGCGATGATCAACATCGCCACCTCTCTTCGGAGGCTTCCCGGGACCGAGATCCGCCACGCGCCGGACGCGCTGCTGGAGATGTTGGGGGCAGCGAATCCCAGGCGCAAGGCCCAGATGGCGGAACCAGTACCCGGGCCAGTCTGAGCCGGGTGCCGAGGCAGCTTCTGGCGGCCGGACGTCGGAGGTCACTACTCGCAGGACTGGCTTTGGCCATGACCGTGGGTACGATCACCGAGGCGGTGGAGATCTGCTGCCATCCCAACAGCATGCTGACCGACGAGTGCACCAACATCGGCCTCAGCATGGAGCGGATCAGCATCGAGAACGGTTACAACCTCAGCACGAAGGCGGGGTTCGAGGCCGCTAGCAAGAAGCTGGACGAGGTGATGCCGAAGCGGGCTTGGATATCGCTACCATGCACGCTATGGACTTCGCTTACGAACTTCAACTACAAGACCCCAGAGGCACGTGCACGCCTAGAGAAAGACCGACTTCGAGACCGACGACGTGTGAAGTATGGAGTTCTCCTGTTGCTAAAGATTGTTGACAACGGAGGAGAGGTCTACTTCGAGTGGCCTCACAGGTGTCAAGGCTGGAAGATTCCCGAGCTCAATTTTCTTCGTATGGAATTGAGGCGTCGGGGACGACACGTCTTCGAAGATCGGATCGACGGGTGCATGTACGGCCTCAGGGACTACAACACTAACGAGCTCGTCGAGAAGGGCTGGAGGATCATGACCACCGACCCGGAGTTCTCCAAAGTCGCGACCGTGTGTGACCACTCACACGGTCACCGAGTCATCAGCGGGAAGCTACACACTGCAGCCACGGCCTACTACCCGCAGGCGATGTGCAAGGCAATCGCCCGGCTATGGCATGCTCAACTCCGGACCCCAATCGACCTCAACATGGCCCTGGAGAACCCTGCTGTCCTCGACCTCGAGAATGCCTACCTGATGGAGCGGGACACCGGGAGCATCTACGTCGCTGAGCCCACGGATCTCGAAAGGGAACAGGTTCGAGCAATGTTGAGCAAGATACACAAGGCTGCAGGGCATCCAGGTAACGAGCACTTGGCTTACTGGTGCAAGAAGCGACAGTGTCCACGCTGGATCATCGAAGAAGCGATCAACCTTCGCTGCGAGGCATGCGACTTAGTCAAGCACGGCGTTACCCACAAGGTCAAGGCGAGCCTCGACATCCCCATGGCACCTTGGCAGGCAGCCGTCATGGACGTTTCCGACCTGACGTTCCCGGACTTGAATGTGAAGGCCAGGTTTCTCCTCATCGCAGAGGTCGCCACCGGCCTAATGTGCGGGGACATCACTGCGAAGATCGGCCTCAAGGATAAGGGCACAGATTCGTCAGCTACGCTGTTCACGACGTTTGCCAGAGCCTACCTCCAACACTATCCCAAGCCAAGGTGGGTTTTCGTCGATCCTCAGACCTCTTTTGTGGGTGGCGAGTTTAAAGACAACTGCCAGTTGGCCGGCATCGGCGTCTCAGCGAAACCAGGAGGAGCACATTGGATGGCTGGCGACATCGAGCGCCGCATCTCGACCGTCAAGCAGGTAATGAGGAAGCTTCGCCTACAATACCCCAAGCTGAGTCCCGAGACCGTGTTTTACATCTCGATTGCGGCGGCCAACAACATGGACAACATCAAGGGCTACACGCCGATGCAGTGGGCTTTCGGGTTCTCTCCCACCGAGGACCCAATCTTGGCGCATAACGCAGCTACTGGCAAGTTGAAGTCCGACTTCTTCGAGATCGAGCGGGTACGAGCGGATGCAGAGGCGACTTACCTGAAGGAGAAGGCGTCCAGGAAGATCTCAGAGCTGAAGAACTCAGCCCCACGACCTCGACATGAATATAAGCGAGGCGACTGGGTCTGTGTCTGGCGGTCGTACGCTGCGACAGGGAAGCGAAAGCTTTCCGGACAGGATTTCTTCACGGACGGCCTCTTCATCGGACCGGGCAGAGTACTGTTCTCCGAGCCGGCGGTCCAGACAGGCAACAAGGACGGCGTGATCTGGGTCATCATGGGCAACCGATGCTGGCGCTGTGCAGCTGAGCAACTGCGGCCAGCCACGCAGTCGGAGATCGTCCAGATCAACCTGAAGAAGGACGACATCCTCAACAGTCCGCTCGAGGACGTCTGGAGGCACCTCCAGGACTTTGACGACATCGCCGGGGAGCCCTCCCCAACGGCAGATGGCATGAGGATGCTACCACGTCAACCTCTTGAGGGCATGCCGAGGGTGATCGAGAATCCCGATGTGGCCGTGGAACCCCACGACGTCACGGAGGCAGATGACGACCTGGAGGTCGACGAGGACAACTCAGCACCAGAGCCACCACAGATTAAGCGAACAAGATTGAGAGGCAAGCAACCGACTGTGTCGTGGCCACCTGTACCGACTGAAGCTTTCCAACCGCGTTTTGGGAGATCATCTTCATCAAGAGCCTCAGCTGAAGTTGCTCACGCTGCCCTCTTCAAGGCGGCGAGCGACCATGTGGAAGCCAGCGAGACCGACATCATCAACTTCGTGCAGGATACGAACAACGAGGCCGAGATGGACCTAATGAAGATTGAGATCGAGACGGACCTGGAGGAGTTCTGCTTCGATGCGAGCGCGTACCTGGAGAAGCAGCTGAACCGAGTGGCCAACAACACGGTCAAGAAGGGTGTGGAGGTTTCGTTTGGCCGCCTGAGCCCCGAGGAGAAGCCACTGTTTCAAGAGGCAATGGCACGGGAGCTGGCGGAACATCTGGAAGCACCGACAGTCCGGGCTGCATCGGCTTACGCTGACTACAATCGTGGAAAGGACATTCCAGCGGACAAGCTGATCAAGATGAGGTGGCTACTGACCTGGAAGCCTTTGACACCACCTGAACCACCGGACAAGTCGGACCCACACCCCGCGAGCACGCCAGACGGGAAGTTCAAGGCGAAGGCCCGTATCATTCTGTTGGGCTTCTCACATCCAGACCTTGTCAGTCGGGATAAGTTCGGAGATCGGGTACTTCCCACGGCGTCACCAACCATTTCAAGAAAAGGGAAGCTGGCACTCCTCCAGATGGCTGCTTTCCACGGCTGGACCTTCGAGCTAGCCGACGCGAAGTCCGCCTTCCTGCAGGCCGGGCACACCGAGGAGTGGAGGAAGCTCTACACGAAGGGCGTGAAGGAGCTCCGGCAGGCCTTGCAGATCAACGAGGAGGAGTCCATGAGAGTCTTGGCAGCGATCTACGGGATCACGAATGCGCCGTGGGTTTTCTGGAAGTACGTGGACCACAAGATCCACGAAGCAGGAGGCAAGAGCGTCCTCATCGAGCCATGCATCTGGATCATTCAGGACCAGAACGGCACCGTGTGCGGGGTCATTGGCTCGCACGTGGACGACTTTGGCATCGCAGGCGACAGCGACAACAAGTTCTACCTCGACATGAAGAACATGCTGAAGGAGATGCTGCGGTGGTCTCCATGGCGAAGCACGCCATGCATGTGGGCAGGCATGTGGATCACCCAGGAGCCATCGGGCAAGATCCATGCTAGCCAGGAGGAGTTCTGTCACCAGCTCCTCGAGATCAGGGTCGAGTCCGGCAAGTACCTCTCGAAGGATGACAAGCTCAAGCCGGAGGACGTCACCCAGTTCAGGGCAGGCCTGATGAAATGCCAATGGAGAGCGACACAGACAGCACCACAGTTCTCATGTCGGGTGTCACTGTTGGCTCAACGGGTGAACGAGGCGACGTTCGGAGACCTGAAGGACACGAACGCCCTCATACGCGATGTGAAGCGGACAGCTCGTGATTCCCTGGTGTTCCACAACTTCAATAGCAACGGTGGCGGTAAGCTGAAGTGGGACGACCTAGTGATCGTGACGTGGGTCGACGCAAGCAGACTACTACAACGAGGAGGCTACATCGTGGCGTTCACCACGGCCGAGATCCTCAAGCAGAAGGAATGTGCAGTATCGATCGCCGACTGGAGATCGTACAAGCTCAAGCGCACCGGCATCGGCACCAACGGCTGCGAGGGACAGGCTCTGTACGACGGCGAGAACGCGGCGTACCTGATGCGCATGCTGTGGTCAGTCATGCACGGAGTTCCAGTCACCGCGCACACTCAGGAGGAGGTGGCGCAATCCATGACCTCGGTGCTGGTGATCGACAGCCGAGGAGTTTATGATTCAGTTCACAACAAGGAGAGTTTCGGCATCGGCCTGAGCGATGCGAGGACCGGCGTGGAGGTTCTACATGTGAAGGCGAACTGCGGGCCCGAGAAGAACCAGCACCTGGTTTGGGTCCCCTCGGACCTCAATCTCACCGACGGCCTCACGAAGGACAGTCCCGAGGCAAGGAAGCCTCTGGCTCTGTGGCTTGCACGGCGTACCTGGATCATCAGGTACGATGAGGACTTCATGTCAGCCAGGAAGCGACAGCGAGCCAACAAACTCGCTCAGGACAAGCCGCAGGCACCTACAGACGCTGAAGCCGAGGCCGCCGACGCTTTAGCTTTTCTCGACCTATCTTGAGGATAGGGTCGGGCTCTTTTCTCATCATTCCTTTTCATATTCGTACTGTGCAGGGCCCCTCTTTTGATCCAGTTCGGTCGGAACGGTTGAGAAGGATTTTAGGCTCATGTCGAGCCGAGGCGACTCGAGCGAAGTTTTGAGTCAACCTCTCCTTCCTCTCTCTCTCTTTTGCCGCCGCCTCCGCGGCTGTATGGGATCGAGGAGGGGGCCCCCTCTTTTGTGCAGAGAGCGCGGCAGACACGCTCGCCAGCACGGGCTGGCGCCATCATGCTCGACGGACGAGCGCAGCACAGCAGAATACAGCGTCGACGTTAATCACGACAATGATGATGATGATGATGCTGATGATGATGCTGATGATGATGATGATGATGTTGAAGATGATGATGATGCTGATGATGCTGCTGCTGATGATGATGCTGACGCGGATGCTGATGGTGGTGATGCTGATGGTGATGATGATGCTGATGCTGATGGTGAGGAAGGTGATGATTATGATGATGTTGATGATTATGGTGATGATGATGATGATGATGATGATGGTGTGAATGATGATGACGATGATAATGACGATGACAGTGACGATGACGATGACGATGATGATGACGATGATGATGATGATGATGATGATGATGATGATGATGATGATGATGATGATGATGATGATGATGTTGAAGCTCCCTACAGCATGCTCAGACCTTCTGGAGTGCCCTGGAGCCTTCTACTAGACCACACTGGAACGCCCCGGAACCAGAACAAGCCAGAAGCTTCCAAAAGCATCCCGGGGCCACAGAAAACCCTCAAGCGGGTGCTCAAATTTTCTTTTGCCCGCAGGAGGAGCCCCCCGAAAGCCCCCGTCAAACCTGCCAGAGCATTCTAAAATCCACTAGAGCCCTCTGGTGCCCCCGAGAACATGTCTCAACCCCCTGGAGCCCCTGAGGCAGCCCAAAGGGGGGGAAGGGTGGGGGTCCAAACCCCCCCCCCTCCCCCTCCGCGCCGGCGCTGGCGCCGGCGCTGGGGGCGGCCAGCAGCGCCGACGGCGGGGACGCAGCGACGATTACCACCACTACCACCACCACCACCACTTCCACCACCACCACCACCACCTCAACCAACCACCACGAACCCACCACACAAACACCACCACCACCATAGCCACCACCACCACCACCACAACCGCCACCGCCACCATCACCACAACTCACCACCACCACAACCACCACAAAAACCCACCATCACTACCACCACCACCACAATCTACCATATCACCGCCACAGCCGACACAACCACCACCACTACCAGCAGCACAACCCACCACAAACCACCACACCACCACCACCGCCACCACCACCACCACCACCACCAGCACCACCTCCACATACCACTGCCACCGCCCGCCGCCGCAGGCGCCGGCGCCGGCCCAGAAAAAGAAGTCGTCGTCCCCGCGGCCGCTGCCAGCTGCCGCCGACGCAGGCGCCGGCCCGAGGAGAGGGAGAGAGGAGAAGTAGGGGAGGAGGGGGAGGGGAGGGGGGGGGTCGAACCCCCCCCCTTCGTCACGGTGGGGGGGGTTCGAACCCCCCCCCCTCCATCCGGGGGGGGGGGCGGTCCGGTTCCACCCCCCCCTCCAAGCGACCACGGAACGCGCTCTTTCGAATCTTCTATACTCTTTACAGCAATCTAGAGGTGCAATACAAGCGGGGGGGAAACACTGGTATAGCTGAAGAGAGGTGAGGAGACAGAGAGAGAGGGAGAGAAAGAGAGAGAGAGAGACGAGAAGGAGAACTATGAAGAGAAGGGAAAAGGAGCGCAAAACTCTTCTAAAACTCTAGAACACAGAGAAACTCCATAATCGCCCAGCCTCCTTCTTTCCCCTTCCTCCTCCCACCTCCCTCTCCATTCCTAACCCGCGGCCCCGGCACCAGATCCCTGTAAGTCTGGTGTCCACCAGGGCCAGGCGCGTCGGCCGAAGGCCCCCAAGCCTGCTTCGAGAGGGGCCATCCTTCCCCCCAGGACGGAATCCCATCAAAATCCGTCCCTGGACAACCTCCTGGTGCTCAATCCTGACCCGATTTTCGAGGCGGATGGCCCAGAGTGGACGAAAAACGCCAGGGAGACTGGCCGCTACCCGGACCCCTCCCAACCAACAGGAGGAGCAGGAGGCGTCCTCCCGACCAGAAGGGTAGCGGGAGGGGTCCCCCAAGCCAGCGCGCCCGCGGTCCCAACAAAAAAAAAATGAGCCAGCGGCTGCAGTTGTGGGAAGGGCAAAGGGGGGGGGATGGTTGTGGAGCAGCGGACGCAGGCAAGCGGATGAGGAGTCCTCCTCAAACTCCTCCTCCTCCTCCTCCTCCTCCTCCTCCTCCTCCTCCTCCTCCTCCCTCTCCTCCTCATCATCATCATCATCATCATCATCATCATCATCATCATCATCAGCATCATCATCATCATCATCATCATCAGCAGCAGCAGCATCATCATCATCATCATCATCATCATCATCATCATCATCATCATCATCATCAGCATCATCATCATCAGCAGCAGCAGCAGCATCATTCATCATCATCATCATCATCATCATCACAGCATCATCATCATTCATCATCATCATCATCATCATCAGCAGCAGCAGCATCATCATCATCATCATCTCATCATCATCATCATCATCATCATCATCATCATCATCATCATCATCATCATCATCATCATCATCATCATCATCATCATCATCATCATCTTCTCTCATTGGTTCTTCCCTCCTCTCCTCCTCCTCTCCTCCTCCCCTCCTCCTCTCCTCATCCCTCCTCCTCTCCCTCCTCCTCCTCCTCCTCTCCTCCTCTCCTCCTCCTCCTCCTCCTCCCTCCTCCTCCTCCTCCTCCTCCTCCTCCTCCCTCCTCCTCCTCCTCCTCCTCCTCCTCCTCCTCCTCCTCCCTCCTCCTCCTCCTCCTCCTCCTCCTCCTCCTCCTCCTCCTCCTCCTCCTCCTCCTCCTCCTCCTCCTCCTCCTCCTCCTCCTCCTCCTCCTCTCAAGTAACATTGGGGCCCGAGCTTTTCAGCTGACGAACTCCAGTCTCTGTGCCGCCACGGGGCACTTGAGGGACTAGGCTAAGCACAACCAGCCCCATCCATTTGTGCTTCAGCCTCGACTAAAGCAGAGACGAACCTTAGTTTTCGAGTTGCAGCCATGACAGGTGCGGGCAAGGCAGCCCCGCGCCGAGCATGGACAAAGTGTCAGAATTGCCAGCGCTGTGAATACAACGACATTCTAGCCAGCAAGCACAACTTCTGCTGTCCTGGATGCCGCCAGAAGGTCGGCTTGTAAGAGAAGCCGAGCTCGTCGCGAAGGAAGGCCGTCCAGTTCGCGGACGAGGAGTGCGAGGAGCTGCAGCATCCACGTGGCATTCTACGCTCGCCAAGCCCAGGCCGCGCAGGCAAGGGCAGGCGTAAGGGCGACGACAAGACCTCAGCCATCGCCGACTTGCTCAGGCAAGCACTGGAGTCCACGGCCGACCCTGTGCTCCAGGCCAACTTGAAGCAGCAGGTCGAGCGGCTTGAGGCTGAGGCGGCCGCCGCCAAGGGCACCACCCCTGTGGAGGCCCTGAGACGGGCGGACGGCGCCTGGAAGGACGCGGATCACCGCCATGGGCAGCAGGTGGCGCCCGTGCTGAAGCTCCGCCAGCTGCTGGAGCTGGCCGAGGCCAAGGAGGCCAAGGCCGCCGTCGAGATCGCGCAGGCGCTCAAGGCGCGGACGGCTGCGGCGCGGGCACTGGCGTGCGCCGAGGGCGTCACCACGCAGCAGGCTGACACCAAGGAGGCGTCCGAGGCCAAGATTTTCTAGGTTTCCTACGACAAGAGTTTCTTCGCGAACATAGACACCATGGAGTGCGAGGAGCACGAGAAGGCAGTGCTACGCAAACTTCGCACGAGTCTCGAGGCAACGGCGTCGGACCTAGAGAGCAAGGAGGCCGAGGTCAAGGCGTGGTTGGCCCAGGCTCAGAAGCTGAAGTCAGAGATCGAGGATCGAGCTGCCAAGAAGAGGAAGAACGCGGAGGGCCAGGGCGTTGCCACAGGCGCGAGTGCCGAGCTGCCTGGGGAGAGCGCCGCGCGTGGAGCGCAGGGTGCCGAGGGCGCCACCGCCACGCAGACGGCCTCCCCAGCGGGCACCGCCGAGGCCGCCGAGGCCGAGTCCGAGGCTGCGAAGGCCGAGGCTCAGAGGCTGTCAGAGGCGAAGTTCCAAGCCATGGCCAACCAGAAGGGCAAGAGCAACGGCAAGGGCGTCGGCGCTCCCCCGCAGCCGCAGTCGCAGCAGACCACAGAGGACAAGAAGCAGGGCGAGTGACTAGGCACTGAGCCTAGTCGTGAGTCGGCCCAGGAGCCGACAGCGGGAGGCCGCACGGCCAAGATATTCCACGGGAATGTCACTTGCATGTGGGAGAAGGCGTGGTCCTGGCTGGTTGGGCAGCCACACGAATTCTTCAGTATCGTTGAGACTCACATTCACGATAAGCAGTCTCTCAAGAAGTACGACGGCAAAGCACGGGGGAAAGGGCTTCGCCTACACGCCAATCCAGCAAGACGTACCCAGAAGGTCGTCACAGACGACCATGTCGAGTTCGCGAGCGAGGGGGGCGAGTGGCTCATGTCCAAGGGCCACCTTCAGGTCGCCAGGCTCGGTGCATCCAAGCTCGCGGCATCCAAGCTGCAGGCGCCCAACCACCCCTCCTCGCTCGACGGTTTCGTGGCGGTGACGGCGCATTTCTCGGGTTGCTCCATGGTCATCGTATCCTTCTACGCGCACAACAGAGTGGGGGTGAGAGGCCTGAATGCTGGTAGGTACCAGCGCCTAGCAGGCCTCCTGTGGTCGCTCCAGCTGCCGTGGATAGTGCTCGGTGATTTCAACATTTCGCCTCAAAATTTTGTTCGATCAGGCATCCCTGACAGGTTGCACGGCACTGTGGTTACCGCTGGCGACACGGCAACTTGTAATCTTGGCACGGGCACGGTCATTGATTTCGTTTTATGCAGTAAATCAGCGGTCCCTTTTCATCGTATCTGTCACGCCTGTTCTTGCTGTTCCCTGGAAGCCTCACATAGGCCTCGAGGTCACTCTTCGTAGTTCAGGTGAACAACTCATCACTAGGATTCTAGAGGTGCCAGGACGCTTGCCACAGATCCCGCGTCCCACCTCCGAGCCAACTGTAGGTTCTAAATCCAGTCTCGCTAAGGTAGAGCGCCAAGCCCAGCATCAGAATGCGGCTGACAAGCGCGCCCAGAAATCTGCATCATTGTTTGGCGATTGTAGACCTCAATCGTTTTGTGCGCACTCTGAGGGGGAGAAGTCCGGGGACCAAGACGCCACCCGCTTAGAGCCTAGGAGGCACGTTGCCGAGTTAGATTATTCAGAATGGCCTGAAGAGGAGGAGGACCCGTGGGCCGAAGAGTCCTGCTTTGTCCCCAGGAACCCTCTAGGCCCGTTAGATAGTACAAGTTTTGGGAATTCGTCCTGGTTTGAACCGGTCAAGTCTGGGGCCTGGGAGTCTAGGGGAGATCCGTCTGGGGGAGTCGAGGGCGTGGGGGTGGTGCTGCCGAGCTCGGCCGCTGCTCCGACCTTTGGCTCATCCCAGGCGCAGACCCTGGATTCCCAGCGCGTTGGAGACCTGCCCTCGGACCCTGACGCGGAAGTCTCTGGAGGAGCCCCGACTTATGCAATACCTCCTGAGCTGTGGGAGCGGTGTCGGAGGGAAGTCGGGTTTACACCTGGCTCGTTTTCGCTCCAGTCCCTTGCTCCTGCTCTGCGTCAGTCCGTAGCTGTTCGGCTCAAGCCAGATCTTGTCTCCACTATTTCAGGCCTCTACGCCTCCTGGGTGTCCGCTGTCGAATCCAGCATCTTTTCGCACCATGGAGTTGAGATTCCATCAGGCCCGCGTCGAGCAGAGGGGCCACGCTTCAAGGTGACCACTGTCAAGATGCCCGGCAAAGCGCGTGTTGCGGCGCTTAGAGATCAAGTCAGTGCATGGTGGACGCAACTACACACACTTCTTTCAGGACTACGCTTGCATCGTGACAAGCGTAATGGACCACGACAGGTTGCTCAGTATACGGCTGCCTGTGTACGACATCTGGACACTCGACCAGATGAAGCTCGGCGAGTTCTGCTTGCTGGACGTGAACCACCGTGGGATGAATGGGAGCGAGTCATCCGAGCCGCAGGCGAGATGACCACCAAGGAGCTGGAGCTGTACGCCTCCCTGTCCAAGCGTGTCATGGGCAGAGCGCAGCGGCGTGCAGTCCAGGAATCCATTCGAGACTTCCGAGATTTTATGGGCACAGCTGAGTCCATAGGCACACTGCATCGCTCATTGGACCCGCAGAATCTACCAGCACAAGAGCTCGACCACGAGGGGGAGGTGCTCTACCACCCCAAGGACATCATTGACGTCAAGGCTCGAGGCTGGCATGATCTGTGGGCGCCCCATTGGATGGACGAGGAGCTAGTGCAGCATACATTTCAGCAGGTACGAGAGCAGCCCAGGACGATGTTTTTCCGCCCATATCGGTTGAGGACATCAGAGCAGCCTTGCGGCAGATGCGGCCCCGAGCGGGGCTTGGCGTCGACATGCTCTCCCCAGGGGACTTCGAGCGTCTCCCTGACACGGCTCTTGCAGAGTTGGCGATGTTGTTCGAGGCTTGCGAGTATCATCTCGTATGGCCCGCCCAGGTCCTCATGATCGTTGGACGCATGCTGCCCAAGAAGAGCACGGGCGACCGCATCATCGGGCTCGTCTCAATGGTTGGCAGATTATGGAGCTTGATTCGCGAACCGTTGGTGCGCCAGTGGAGCAGCGACACGGGGGCGTCCTGGGACGCAGCAGTGAGAGGGAACTCCAGCTTGAGAGAAGCAGTTGTGAGAGCCCTCCAGCAGGAAATGCCACATCATCTGGGCATCGCTGTCGGAGAAGGCCTCGTTGACATTAAGTCGTTTTACGATTCCATCGAGTGGCCAGGGCTGGTTTTGCGTTCCCTCAACCTGTCTTTCCCGCCGAGGATCCTCTACCTCGAGTTGCTGCAGTGCGCGGCAGCGCGCACGGTGAGCCAGCTTGGGGCCACGTCGCGGGCTTTTCAGCCGACGCGAAGCGTGGTGGAGGGCCTCCGCTCAGGCACGAGATTCGGCAAGGCCATGACCCACTACGTGTTGTCAGTCATCACAGTCGCTCACCCCAGAGCGAGCCATCGGATCTGGATAGAC